CGTGTGCCTTGGTCAGTATATTTGTTACTTTTTCTGTGCCAAATGTTAAAGTGCAACATGAGTGTTTTAATCTACTACTTAGTTCATTAATTTGATCACATTACTGTAGCTGAGGAAGGGACTTTTTAGTTATATTATTCATTCATTAATGATACCGTTAGTTATTCTGCAAAATAAATAAACATGTGAGAAAAAATCAAATAGCAAATTATAAGCAAAGAAACAGCGAATGAGAAAATAATACTTTCTTTTGGAAGTAGAAATGGAAAAGGTAGCGGGGTCCCCTCAAAAATAAGTAAAACACATAATAAATTAAACAAAGTACGTTCTCCAAGAAAGACTGATGGAAGAAACCCTTAATGAAAGATTGCATTGAGTCTTTAAAGTAGAGCTGCAACTCATCATTTCATATTCTGCCAAATATCTTTCCAGAAAACGGGAGAAATTGTAAAAAAAACTTCCATCCTAGTTTCTCAAAGTCCAGCATTAGGTTTCTAAATGTCTCGTTGTGATGATATATAACTCCATGTCTTCATATGCGAGTGACATGTTTGCATTAAATGACATTATAGTTGTGTATTACTGGTCTGTGGTTGCAGCTCTACTTCTAGAGTTACAGGACGTCAGGACTTTGGCTCGCTATTTATTTACATCATGGCTACTGGGCCTCGAAGGGAAAACGACATTTATAGAAGCGCTACATTGAAGTCACTTTTCCTGACATTAAATTCATCGTACCATCAGAGCAACAACGAGACTGTGAGCGTGAGTCCTAAACCCTCAGGGTCCAGCCAGGGGCGCCGCAAGGGGGTGAAAGGTTAGGGCGGTTCTAAGGGCCCGTGACTGACAGGGGCCCAAACTATTTTAGAACATTGAGAAAAAAATGTTTAAGTAACCAAAGTGATATCTTTTCATGGGGCCCCTGGGTCCAGCACAGAACAACCACATCATCCCTGCAGCAAGCGGATAAGAAATGCTGATTACATCACAGAACTCAACAGCATCTTGAATCCAGAGGAACATCTTCCCGTGGTTTTCCCATCATCTTCCTCGCGTCAGATTTCTTTGTTTCAACCCATGATAAGTTAGCGTCGTCGTTAGCACGTTAGCTGTCTTCGCCCACCGGCTTTACAACTAAGCATCCTGATTTAAATTCAAAACAAACTTCCCGTTTTCTGTCTCAGTGTTCCCGATCTCGACGTCGCACCGGAACAGCGAACAGAGGCAGGGTTCGAGTCGGAGAAGAAGACGTTTCGGGGTCAGAGCTCGTTAGCGGGTCTTCGGCTTTGTGTCCGCGGCGCTCCGAGGACCCGGAGGCCGAGAGATCCTGGCAGACCTCGTAGGAGAACTTCCTCTTCTGGAGCGCCTCGGCCCGGACGGCGAGGGATCGAGCGCAGACGGTCAGGAGCACGATGAGCGTGCCGAGCAGAAGAGAAACCATCGGCCACAGGACGCAGTGCAGCAGCACGCTGGTGTCGTGGGAACGCCGCCACAACACGTCGTCCGGCCTGAGAAACACAAGAAGAAGAAGAAGAGAAGAAGACTTCATTTTGTTTCTCTTTGGTAACAGACAGGAGAAGTGAGTTGTTTGCTTGGAAGTTTCTCTTCCAAATTGTTATGGGTTTTTCCTCAGCTCAAGCTAAACACTTCCACCAAATGTTATGAAAACCGGGATAGTAGTTTTTCCGTAATCCTGTTGACAAACTGTATCTGTAAAATCAAATGTTCCCTCTGTGGGACGGATAAAGGTATTCTGATTCTGATTCCTAAAATATTAACTTTCTGACTTTTTACAATGCTAATAATAAACCCAAGCTAATGGGGCATGAAGCTAACATTATATTATTGAAGTTAATCTCCTGGCAGTCCTCCAAACATCTTACAGGGCGCAACGATAGCATTACTAAGACACTAGCATCAGGATGTTAGCTAACGGAGGAAACGGTCACTAACTAGAGTTTTTATCTGCTCTTTAACTTTTAGAGACAAATATCTCATTGCTTTCCAACGACAAGCTCTACGTCTTTGATTTAGGATTCAATTATGATTAGAGATGTCCCGATCCGATCACGTGATTTTAAAAAGATCGGAATCGGGAGAAAAAAAATCGGGGATCGGGATTTTTTATTTTTTTTAATTTTTTTTATAAATACTTTTTTTTAAATTTTGTATTCAATGTTACAAAACAAAAATGACCATGTTCAAGTCTTAAAGTCATCCTGAGGCCTTAGTTTTGGTTTCAAATGACAGAACATCATGTATGTGTTGCTTCTTTGGGGCTTGTTTTCAGAGACCTGCTTATTTCTCTCAAATCTGGCAACAGAGTGGGCGCAGTGTCTAATTGTAGCAGTAAGCTAACGAGTACTGAAAGCTTTATTTTGTTTTGATCCAATGCTGCACAACTGAACTGATCCAATGCTGCTGTGAAAGAAAGAAGCTATATCCATGTTGGATAGAATATCCAATTTAAATAAAAAAATAACCTTAAGGGACAACTTGAATGCTTTTTTTTCTCTTAATGCATTGCATAAAGATCGGATCGGGAAAAATCGGTATCGGCAAATTGTCAAAATCAAATGATCGGAATCGGATCGGGAGCAAAAAAAGGTGATCGGGACATCCCTAATTATGATCATCATTCAAGAAAGTGTAGACAGAAATAAGTCCATATAAAGTTTACCCAGTAGAAACCAAGTCGTGTGACACTAATGCTACAGAGCTGCGTTCGGAGATGTGGGGAGATGACCTCATATACTATAGGACTTTCTCCATCTTTGAGTGCTCCAGTTCTTCTTCCCATAAAACATATTTTAAACTCTGCATCTCCTTGTTCACGCTGGTCCTCGAGGTGCAGATACAAATAAAAGGAGCCAAGGTCCCAGGTAAACACCGGCTGAAGGGTTACGCTGACAAGCCCTAAAGGAGATCTCTGTGTTTGTATTCAGTCCCTGTAGAAATAGGGGCGAACATAAATACCTAAATACGACCACAAGATAAGGACTGTTGGTTTAAACATTGAAAGACCTGCTGTTTTATTTGACTGCTTTATTTGGGCGATCTCAATAAACCCCAGGCATGTCTTGGGACACTTTAGTGATACTTAGCAGCAGAAACACGACAATATCCGTAACGATGGTCTAAAATTGGACGTATATCGACTTTTAAATTGAGAATAAGAGTCATTTCGTTGAGGTCAAAGGCCTCAGATGTAATCTCACACATCCCTCTGTTTCCATCTCCTCTGCGTCACACCTGGAAATGGGTTTTTCTCTTTATTAGACGCTCAACTCTTTTGCTAGCTTAGCAATATTAGCTAAAGAAGAACATCACTGTTACTGGCATCCGAGAAAGATTGGTGAGAAATGTCAGAGACACAAAATGAATAAAAGAGATTTAAAATTACATAAAAAGACACAAATAGACTACGAAAAGATACGAAATGACTACTAAGAGACTCAAAATTACAAAAAAATAAATAATTATTATGAAAACGTACAAAACAACTGCAATAAGTCCCAACAAGTCTAAAAATGCACCTCTATCGACTCCCACTCACTTCAGATGAGGTCAAAGGTCAGAGAGCTAGTCTCACACCTCCCCCTGTCTCCATTTCCTCTGCATCACACCTGTACATGTGTTCCTGTGTGTTCCTGTGTTCCTCACCTGCGCTGCTGGTTGAAGAAGCAGGTGAAGACCTGGCTGCTCACCTCCCGGGTGAAGTAGTCCTCCCACCACAGGACGCTGTCTCGGTTCTTCTGGTTGTCTCGTTCACAGGGAGGCACGTACGAACACTGAGAGAGAAACACATCAAGAGAGAAACACATCCATATGAACACAGAGAGAGAAACACATCTATATGAACACAGAGAGAAACACATCTATATGAACACAGAGAGAAACACATCTATATGAACACAGAGAGAGAAACACATCTATATGAACACGGAGAGAGAAACACATCCATATGAACACAGAGAGAAACACATCTATATGAACACAGAGAGAGAAACACATCTATATGAACACAGAGAGAGAGAAACACATCTATATGAACACAGAGAGAAACACATCTATATGAACACAGAGAGAGAGAAACACATCCATATGAACACAGAGAGAAACACATCTATATGAACACACAGAGAGAAACACATCTATATGAACACAGAGAGAAACACATCTATATGAACACACACAGAGAGAAACACATCTATATGAACACACAGAGAGAGAAACACATCTATATGAACACAAGAGAGAAACACATCTATATGAACACAGAGAGAAACACATCTATATGAACACAGAGAGAAACACATCTATATGAACACAGAGAGAAACACATCTATATGAACACACAGAGAGAAACACATCTATATGAACACAGAGAGAAACACATCTATATGAACACAGAGAGAG